CGTCTCTTCATTGCTGCTGTTTCACCTGCTTTCATACAGGTTACATATCTGTGACTGAGGTACCCATCCATCGTCAACCGCTTATCCTGCGTACAGGGTCATGGGGGGCTGGAGCCAATCAAGGTGACATCGGGTGAAAGGCGGGGTACACCCTGGACAAGTCGCCAGTCCATCGCAGGGCCTACTTAAAGTCAACTTTAAGATAATTGCAATATATTTTAATATACTTAGTTGTGTTAAAATGGAACCACTTTAAGTACTTTTACTGTAATTTAAATATACTTCTTTAAATTTAACTTGTAATACCCTTTTTGTGCTGTACTTGAAGAACAGTTTAAATATATTTTAAACTTCACATAAATGTGTTCCCTGAACATTTTTATAAGCATTTCAGCTTATTAGTAATTTATTACTATTGTACTCCAAGAGCCACTATTAATATCTTGGGAAGCTGCTTTATGAAACCATTCAGTATGAGAATAATTCATTATTAATGTATTAAAAATACCTTGCAAAATGCCCTTTTAACATAAGAATAAAAGTCAGTAAAAAATTTATTTTACAACAGACACACACAAACTAAAACACTTTAATTTGTGGACATTACAAAAATAACTTCCTGTACATTAAAAGGTACAGCAGCATGTTTCACATCTTGACCAAAACACCTTTTAAATTAAATAAAATCAGTAAAATGAGAAGTACACTATACACATCCCATCATTAATGTTACCCATGGGGGTCCCTCATACGGTTCGGACTCTGGGCTCAGATGACCTCACAGCAAGCCGTCACCATATGCGGCCAAAGGCGAGAGCAGTCACCCTGCCAAGATTCAAACCCAGGTCTAAAGGGTACCAAACATGCAACTTTGACAGCCATGCCAAAGAGCCAGGCTCGTTGGTATGGCGAAGGTACTCCGTCACAAGCATGCAGTACAAATGATGGAACCAAACTGGAACAGGTCACAATCCTTATCCTTGGAGTGGAGGGTCACTTATCTTTGAGTAGGACTCTCTGCATTGACACTATGGGATTTGGAAACTGCTTTATCACACAGCATCTGTGGAAGGGAAAAGGAAATATTTTGTCTATACCAAAGCAATATTACCTCTAATGAACTAACAACCACTGTCAGATTTTTATTTTGTTTATAGTTGCTGAAACACAATATGACATCATGTCTAACTGTTCTGATGATGCTAACCGTTTAGGTTCAGGTGAAGTGGTTTTCCACAAGTGACCCCTCCCAGTTAATGCCCAGTTCTTCCATTACAACATGATCAAAAACATAAACACTACTGCACATTCAGCCAAGGAGCTGGATGTGATAAACATCATTATCATGTCATTGAACAGGTACAACAAATAACACACACATTAGGACTAACTTAACAACTGTGCTATCTGCACGTCATTTCACATTAATACAGAAGTCAATTTGTGAAGTACAAAGTAGCCAATTACTTCATGTAGAACAAGATTTTAAATATAATTATTTTTTCACAAGAATATTTGTTTATTTATTCTGACCCTGTTGACAAAGCAAAAACAGTGATGGTGTGCAGGAGCCAGACATACCTATGAGCACATTGAGCTTGTGAGGCTCCAGCTGGTCCTTTGAGGTTTTCGTGGCCTCTATGTCATCTGAGTGAGGCGATGATCCCAGGAAGCTCTAAAAGAAATATATATATATATATTAAGTTAGGCCAGTACCCCTCCATGGCTGCAATGAAGAGAAATCTCTAAAAACAGTGTACCTTTAGAAGATATCCACTTTTGAATAGTCTAACACAGCTGCTTAGCTGGTGATTCATAGTAGCTTCAGCTAAACTTTGGAATTAATTTATCCAAAAAGGACAGTTGTGGTGATGTCTTTACAGACTGTATGGACAGGAATAATGATCACAGTGACCAATAACTTCCTGTAAACATAGACATGTGAGTATTAAGTTAGACTATAAAAATGCGAACCTTTAGCACACAGACAGCAACATATTAGTTGCATTTATTACTCTCATAAAGACCTCACTGGTCATTTTAACCTTGCAAAAGCAGAATTGAGGGCTCACACACACATGCACAGGCCTGCCTTGTTAAAATCTCTTGCATCAAACTCCTGCAACAGGGTTGCTGTACAATACATTACTGTAACATTAATTGCGTTACTTTTGTGACGCGTTACTCCCAACACTGTTTATAAGGCAGACAAAAGTCACTGTCCATTATGAAGCTATTAAACGTTAGCTATATTAATCCACGTGCTAGCATTAGCTACACCAGAGCTATCCACCAAGGAAAATATTTTCAAACCCAGAGTGAGCTCAACTTTCGTAAACTTACACAATTGTGTTGTCAACACAATAACAATAATAAACTTACCAAGAAAGACGATTTTTGCCGGCAGTATCTGCGTCTGTCCTCTCCTGCTTGTACTTGCCAGGCTAGCTCTTTTCACATTTAACTTCTGCAGGGATCTGATCGGATTTTCTTCTCTTCTGTGTTCTTTTCTTATTATGTCTGTGGCGTCCACATTCGCCAAGTCCGGGTCGGTAAAGTAAAACAAAGGAAAACTGAGAAACAAAATTATTTCTGGCCAAAAATAGCTTCCCTCTCAACGACATTTAAAGGGGCCATATGTAAGTTTTTCAATGAGATTTATTATTAAGTCACATTTTCATTGCCTTATTGTCAATGGGCTCAGTTAGAAATGAAGCACACGCCTGTTTTCTCAGTTTCTTCCATCAGCCACTATTCTTCTTTTCTCTGGGTCGGATTCAGCCCTGTGTGCTCCCGAGCCTCTCAGACTACAGCGTCAACACGGCGGCTAACGACATGCAGTCCACTAACACCATAAAACAACAGGCTCCCAGCAAAACACAGCCTCCATGTAAGGATCCAAAACAACAATAAAGGTTTATGTGCTGAAGCCCATCAGACCAAACAGGTTCAGATGATGTCGAGTAAGAACAAAGTGAGCATTAGTAAAGCTGGAGAAACACAGAGAAAGTCACTGGTCACAGGGACATAAAAACTACATGAATAGAATCAGCATTAAAATCTGATAAAAATCGCTGAAAGAGTTTGACAACTTTAGGTTTAAAAAGCCTTTTTCCCCTACTGGTTTTACTTCTACTACGCATGCGTCACCACTTCCGCACATGCGTAGTAAAGGTAAGACAGACCCTTACATCAGTGGAACCCCACGATTGGCTGAAATATGATTCCCGCTTTGGCTGTTAAAAGCAGACGATTGGCTTTCTAGCAAGAGGGGCGGGATAACTGCCATCTTTGCTGTTACGGGCTTTCCCCATAGAGTTGTATTGAGGATGTGACTGAGTGGCATCTTTCCTCTAAATTGTCTCTGCTGTAACTGTTAGTTAATCTGAGTTTCCAGTATATCGTGTGAAACTGTCTCCCCCTCCCGTCTACAGCCGCTGTCACTCTGCCTTTTTTTTTTTCAGGAGGATTGTGCTGATATGACGTCTCTCGCTGCGCTGAATGAAAGTTACGCCGCCGGTGTTGATCTGCCTCTGAGCCGAGGAGTCACAGAGCCTGAATGTTTCTGAGTGAAAAGCCACAGCCTGCATGCTGCTGTTTCTGTGTTTATTGCAGGATTTCTGTATGAAAGTGTTTGTGTTTTGGATCCTGCTCGCTCAGGAGTTCAAGCGAGCACACATACGAGCACACGCCTGGTAGCAATCTTAAAACCGCACCGCTAGTGGCTGCTGGAAACTACATGATGCCCCTTTAACACGTTAACTCTCGTGAAGCGGACTTTCACGCTGTGTGATTGGGTCGTCGATTTGAAAACCTTGATTATGATTGGTCAGGTTGAATGCACTGCGCTAGTGGGCCGGGCGGGAGGGCACACTTCAGGTGTGTTTACTGTTTACACACAGAAACAAGTATAACTACATTATGATTTAAAGTATGCTTATTACTAAATGTTGTTGTTTCTTTAAGTTAACAACATGTGCTGCTTCCTTCTAGGCCAGGTTACCTTTATGAAGGAGGTCTCTGATCTCAATTATCTATTTTCCTTATTAAGACTTTGTGACGTTGGCAAAGGTCCAGACGATCCAGTCCAGTAAAAGATTTAGTCCTGAACGCATTATTATCTCAATAAATACACAGGGACTGCTGTTGGGTCACTTTATATCGGCCTAACTGCAGTTAGCATGTAAACAAAAAAGCGTCTCCACGTTGACCTTTTGAGTGACACCTTAATTGACCCAATAGAAACTTCATGCCCTGTTCACGGCCTACAGGAGCCAATGAGTGTCCACATAGTCAGGGAGTGCTAATCCCCTTCTTTCATGTAGACACCGACACAGAGACGACAGAGACACCGAGCCCCCAACTGTGCAGAGGAAGACAGGCGCTTCACACACACACACATCACCTGAAGCAGCAGACATGTTTCATATATACATATATATATCTTGGTGCATTCAGCTCCTGATTTACTGAGGCAGCAGCTCATCAGACTCCGTCATGGCTGCCAGAGACAGTCTGCTGCCATTCTAGCTGCTGAGTGTGAGTCAACCTGGGTACATTACTGTCAGAGATGATGTCACTGATGGGCTTACCTGAGCAGGTGACATCCAGGATGAAGGAAGAGGAACCTGATGATGTTACACACTCCCTCAGAGCAGATCCAGGCTGAACACAGTCAGACCAGATCCACCACACAGGTCTGATTGAGGACTCCTCTCTCTGTCCTACAGAAACAGCAGAGCCACAGTCCAGCTCTCTACAGACAACAGCTGCTGTCTTCAGGGTCCAGTCATAGTTTCTCACTGGTCTCCAGTCTCCCTGATGTTTCACCTCCAGCATTCCTCCACAGCGACTGGCTCCTCCCACCAACCTGCCATCATTAGGCTCTGAACAGAAAGAAGAGAGTCATCAGTAAAGAAGTGAATTCAAGAGATTAAACTAAAACTGACTGCTGATTCTGCTTCTGTGATTCTTTCCTTCTCTTTTCTTTCTCTCTTTACCTGTTGAGGTGTGATTTCCTTCAGCCTGGAGTCCTGTGATTGGAGCACAGCCATGGACAGAAAAAACACTATCAGCTCAGAAACATCTCAGTGAACTGCGGTAAGCGTGTCGACTCATTTCCGTTTCCGGTGCTTGTGTGTTGGTACCGTGTTGGTACCGTATTGTGCTGCTCTCACTAAATAACAGTTACATTTGTTAGATTACAGCAGCCAACTGTCTGCTAAACACTTATTCTTACATTAATTTTGCCTGAGCACCCACAGTTCTTTCCATCTTTTAGTGACTGCTGTTCAATCTCATAGTTGTTCTAAAGTTTTGGTAGCTGACGCTACAGTACTTTAGCTTAGCCGTTAGCGATGGCTTCTCCTTCCACCTCTGTCTCTCCTACTTTCTCCTGCTCGGTGTGTCAGATATTCAGTTACTCCTCTGCCTCCTTTAGCGGTAATGGTACGTGTAATAAGTGTAGTTTATTTATAGACATGGAGGCGAGGCTCAGTGATTTAGAAGCCCGGCTCCGCACCTTGGTAGATCAGTCTTTAGCTACTGTAGCTAGTCAGTCCCCGGTAGTCGGTGCGGAACAACCTGAGTTAGCCACTGGTAGCCGTCCCCCGGGATTTCCTGAGCAGCCAGGAAGGGAGGGCTGGGTGACTGTCCGAAGGAGGAATAGTCGTAAGCATTCAAAGCCCACGGGGCACCATCAACCTGTTCACGTCTCTTAACAGATTTTCCCCACTCAGCGACACACCCGCTGAGAAACCAACTCTGATCATTGGCAGCTCCATTTTGAGAAACAGGAAGTTAGCGAAGCCAGCTGCCATAGTTAAGTGCATCCCTGGGGCCAGAGCGGGCGACATTGAGTCTTATTTGAAACTGCTGGCTAAGGATAAACGTAAATACAGTAAGATTGTTATTCACGTCGGCGGTAATGACTCCCGGTTACGCCAATCGGAGGTCACTAAGATTAATGTTGAGTCTGTGTGTACATATGCAAAAACAATGTCGCACACCGTAGTTTTCTCTGGACCCCTGCCAAATCTGACCAGTGATGACATGTATAGCCGCATGTCGTCATTCCGCCGCTGGTTGTCGAGGTGGTGTCCAGCAAACGATGTGGGCTTTGCAGATCATTGGCAGACTTTCTGGGGAAGACCTGGTCTGATTCGGAGAGACGGCATCCATCCCACTTGGGAAGGAGCAGCTCTCATTTCTAGAAATCTGGGCAAGTTTATTAGTGGACCAAATCCATGACAACCCAGAGTTGAGACCAGGAGGCAGAGTCGCAGTCTAACACACTTCTCTGCTCCTCCATTTGAAGAGTTACTTAGTGAAAATCCTATAGTGACGGTGTCTGCCCCCCCACCATCGAAATTATTTAAATCAAAGGTAAACAGAAGAGGAGCTGTGCATAAAAACCTCATAAAAATTAAAACCACAAGAGCAATAGTGCAAACAAATAGGAGAGTTAAATGTGGACTCTTAAACATCAGATCTCTCTCTTCTAAAGGTGTACTAGTAAATGAACTAAAATCAGATTATGATATTGATTTATTTTGTCTTACTGAAACCTGGCTGGGTGATGGAGAATATGTTAGCCTAAATGAATCCACCCCTCCCAGTCATATTAATACTCACATTCCTCGAGGCACAGGCCGAGGAGGTGGAGTTGCAGCTATCTTCGACTCTAGCCTACTAATCAGCTCTAAACCTAAAATAAACTCATTTGAAAGCCTTGTTCTTGGTCTTTCGCACCCAAGTTGGAAATCACTGCAACCAATTCTCTTCATTATAGTGTACCGAGCACCTGGCCCGTATTCTGAATTCTTATCTGAATTTGCAGAGTTTTTGTCAACTTTAGTCCTTAAAACGGACAAAGTTATTATTGTAGGGGATTTTAATATTCATGTGGACGTTGAGAATGACAGCTTCAGTACTGCGTTTATCTCTTTGTTAGATTCTATTGGCTTCTCTCAGGGTTCATGAACCGACTCACTGTTTTAACCACACCCTCGACCTTGTTTTGGTGTATGGTATTGAAATTGAACATTTAGTGGTGTTCCCACAGAATCCCTCTGACCACTGTTTGATAACTTTTGAGTTTGTATTGCTGAACTACACGCCATTGGGCAAAAATGTCTATACAAGATGTCTGTCTGATAGTGCTGTAGCTAAATTTAAGGATGCGATTCCATCAGCTCTAAATTCATTATCAAGTCACAAAGTAACGGAGGACTCCTATGCTAGTTTCAGTCCCTCCCAAATCGATCATCTTGATAGTGCTGCAGGCTCGCTGCGAATGACACTCGACAATGTAGCCACTCTAAAAAAGAAAATAATAACACAAAGACGGTTAGCTCCATGGTATAATACTGAAACTCGCAAATTAAAACAAACATTTCGGAAACTTGAGAGGAATTGGCGTTCCACCAAAGTGGAAAATTCTTGTTTAATTTGGCAAGATAGTCTTAAAACTTATAGGAAGGCCCTCCGTAATGCCAGAGCAGCGTACTACTCGTCATTAATAGAGGAAAATAGGAACAACCCCAGGTTTCTTTTCAGCACTGTAGCCAGGCTGACGGAGAGTCACAGCTCTATTGAGCCAAGTATTCCCATAGCTCTCAGTAGTTACGACTTCATGAGCTTCTTTAATGATAAAATTCTATTATCTCTAAACTCAGGAACCTTAGAAACAACTATAGAACCAGATATATGTTTAGACTGTTTTACTTCCCTCAATCTTTACCAACTATCTTCAATAATTTCTTCATCTAAACCATCAACCTGCCTCTTAGACCCCATCCCGACTAGGCTGCTTAAAGATGTTTTACCCTTAGTCAGCACTTCTATACTAGATATGATCAATCTATCTTTATCAACAGGCTATGTACCACAGTACTTTAAAGTAGCTGTAATTAAACCTCTTCTGAAAAAGCCCGAACTTGATCCGGATGTTTTAGCCAACTATAGACCTATATCTAACCTTCCATTTCTCTCTAAGGTTCTGGAGAAAGCAGTTGCTAAACAGCTGTGTGACTTTCTACTGAGCAATAGTTTATTTGAAGATTTTCAGTCAGGATTTAGAGCTCATCATAGCACAGAGACAGCACTGGTGAAAATTACTAATGACCTCCTTATTGCATCAGACAAAGGACTTGTCTCTGTAGTGGTTTTATTAGATCTTAGTGCTGCATTTGATACCACTGACCATCAGATCCTATTGCAGAGACTGGAACATTTCATTGGCATTAAAGGAACCGCTCTAAGCTGGTTTAAGTCCTATTTATCAGATCGATTTCAGTTTGTACATGTTAACGATGAGTCCTCCATGCACGCCAAAGTTAGTCATGGAGTTCCACAAGGATCTGTCCTTGGACCAATCCTCTTCACTTTATATATGCTTCCTTTAGGCAATATTATCAGGAAATATTCCATAAGCTTTCATTGTTATGCAGATGATACTCAGTTATATCTATCGATCAAACCAGATGAAACTCATCAGTTAGCTAAACTTCAAATGTGCCTTCAGGATGTTAAAATCTGGATGACCTGTAATTTTCTAATGTCAAACTCAGATAAAACTGAAGTTATTGTTCTGGAGTTTCCCTTGATGGCATCGCCCTGGCCTCCAGCACCACTGTGAGGAATCTTGGAGTTATCTTTGATCAGGACATGTCGTTTAAGTCTCACATTAAGCAAATTTCAAGGACCAACTTTTTTCACCTACGTAATATTGCAAAAATCAGGAACATCCTGTCTAAAAATGATGCAGAAAAACTAGTCCATGCATTTGTTACTTCTAGGCTGGATTACTGCAATTCCTTATTATCAGGCTGCTCGAAAAAGTCCATTAAGACTCTTCAGCTGATCCAGAATGCTACAGTACGTGTTCTGACAGGAACCAGGAAAAGAGATCATATTTCTCCTGTTTTAGCTTCTCTGCATTGGCTTCCAGTAAAATCCAGAATAGAATTTAAAATCCTTCTTCTTACCTGCAAAGCTCTTAATGGTCAGGCATCATCTTATCTTAAAGAGCTCATAGTACCTTACTACCCCACCAGAGCACTGTGCTCCCAGAATGCAGGGTTACTTGTGGTTCCTAGAGTCTCCAAAAGTAGACTAGGAGCCAGAGCGTTCAGCTATCAAGCTCCTCTCCTGTGGAACCAGGTTCCAGTTTGGGTCCAGGAGGCAGACACCATCTCCACATTTAAGAGTAGGCTTAAGACTTTCCTCTTTGATAAAGCTTATAGTTAGGGCTGGCTCAGGTAGTCCTAAACCATCCCTTAGTTATGCTGCTATAGGCCTAGACTGCCGGGGGATTTCCCATGATGCACTGAGCTCCTCTCTCCTCTACTTTCTCTCCCTCTGTATGCAACCTCATCCCATTATTGCATGTTACTAACACAACTTCTCCCCTTTCCGGTAGTCTTGTGCTTTCTCGTCCCTCTCCTCTCTCCTCCTATCACTTCCTGCAGGTTTTCTGGCTCTGGAGCTGTGGAGTCTGGATCTGTGGTTGCGGGTCACCTGCTGCCCCTGTGTTCCTGCTCGACACCCTCTGCTGCAACAACTATTGTTACTAGTCCTATTATTGTTATTATAATAATTAACATTACGATTGTTATCATTAACACTACTATAAATATCTGTACCATTTTTCATTTAGTCTATAGCAACATCACCTTTACTGTCTGTACCTCTGTGTGGATATTGTGTAGGCTGCCTCCCTCCCCTCTCTCTCCTTCCATCCCTCTCTTTTTCTCTCTCTCTCTCTCCCTCCTTCACCCCAACCGGTCGAGGCAGATGGTCGCCCACCCTGAGTCATGGTTCTGCTTGAGGTTTCTGCCTCTTAAAGGAAGTTTTTCCTTGCCTCTGTCTCCTAGTGCTGCTCTTGGTGGGAACTGTTGGGCTTCTGTAAATATCATCATAGAGTACGGTCTAGACCTGCTCTTTTATGAAAAGTGCTGTGAGATAACTGTTGTTGTGATTTGGCGCTCTATAAATAAAACTGAATTGAATTGAATTGAATTGAACTCCCTCT